CATCCCTGCTCACCAATGTAAACCTAACCATGACCATCCTGGCATCCTTGAGCATCCAGGTAAATTTTAAGAAGTCAATGTTAATTCCCACTAAACGGGTGCAGTTTATAGGAGCTATCCTAGACTCTGTCGCTTGCAAGGCTTTTCTCCCTCCTCAGAGAGCAAGGGACATTGTCAATTTAGTGACTCTATTCTGCAAGTCTGGTCATGCTACGGCAAAGCGAATCCAGTGGCTGCTGGGTCTGATGGCTGCCACCATCACTGTCATAGTTTTTGCCAGACTGCACATGAGACCTCTGCAGCTATGGTTCGTACGCAGGTTTCACCCACAGAGTCTCCTCAATCCCTTCGTCTTCTCCTCCCACCATCCGTCTTGGGCTCTCTGCTATGATGGACAGACCCTGTGAATCTCCTAGCAGGAGTCCCATTCCATCCACCCACGTCAACACTCAAGCTGACTACAGATGCGTCCCTCTGGGGATGGGGCATGCATCTCAAGGGTCTTTGTGTTGGGGCTCGTTGGGAGCCCCATGTAGCACGCAATCATATAAATTTCCTGGAACTCCTGGCAGTGCTGTTCGACTCAGGTCTTTTAATCATCTAGTGACCATACATGTGGTCAAAGTTCTGACAGACAACACCACAGCCCTGTGTTATATCAATAGACAGGGAAGTATGATCTCCCGGGGGCTATGTCGCCTAGGCATAGATCTATGGGTCGAGTGTCAATCACGGAACACGTTCCTAAGCGCCGCTCATCTGCCAGAAACACTGAACGTCCAAGCAGATTTCTTGAGCAGAGGAGAGGAGAGGCAGGGGAGCATGAGTGGGAGCTCAATTGGATTTATCTTCTCCCAATCTTTTGCCTTTGGGGCCATCCAGACGTAGACGTGTTTGCAACACGCAGCAACAGGAAATATCGTCTGTTCTGCTCCAGAGCGGGTATAGATCCCTTATCTCTGGCAGTCCTCCAGACTCCTTACTCCTGGGTAACAGCTCCTCTCCTCTGAAGGCGGGGCTGGCAGACTCTTTGGTCACGGAGGGGAGAGGCTTGTGCTCCTGCATCCCAGTCTATCCGGCCCTGCCTTCAGAGCAGGAAGCTGCAGACTGTGCTCTGTGGAGCACACTGGTCACAAGCAAAGAATTAAAAGAAAGAAGAAAAGGGGAAGGAGCAGGTAGAGGACCTTTCTAGCCTGTTCTCCGCCCCCCCTCCTGTCGATTGGCCGCGGGAGCGGCTTGCAGGCTTTTGGCGGACGTGGACCTGGGAGATCCCTGGGGGAACAGCGCTGCCGCAACGTCTCCTGTGCCCGAAGGGACTGGTTAAGCTTCTTCCTGGAGGCTGCCGGTGGCAGAGAGCTCCAGAGGGCGACGGTAGAGGCTCTGTCTTGCCTGGAGGGACAGACGGGGTGGTGCTGCAGAGTCCCGGGCAGACGTTAAGACGATCGGTATCCCTCTGTTTTCCCGCACACTGCAGAGGAAGTCGGGGGAAGCAAGGAGGAGGAACCGGTCACTTCAGAATGCGGTAAGATCACTCCTGGGGGCAGGGGAACTACAGGAGGACAGCGTTTTTAACCCCCCCTTGTTTCCCCTCTGTTACCTGGTTCCCCTCATCCCCGTTGTAGTTTACTATTGGGGGAGACCTGTGGAGTCGGGAGACTGTGGGTTCGGGGGGGGGGTTGAAATAGGGAAAGCACCCTTCTTGTGGGGACTTAATAACAGCGGGAAACTGCCATTTTGAGTGATCCTGCCCACGTTCACTTTCAGATTTTTCACAAAATGGCTGAAAAGGCAGGGACGTCGTCTAGCCAGGGATTGGAGGAGGCTACTTGCGCCTTTGATCTGGCTGATTCCCCTAAATCCACAGCCTCTCACACTGGAACTTCTGCTGGGGATGACTCCCAAGCTAATCTACTATCTTGGATCAAACTAGAGAAGAAAAAAGAATTTAGAGCTTCGTTGCAAGAGAACACAGTGGTAGACTGGTTGTCGGCAGTGGGTCGACCAATCAGAATCGATGCTAAACATGCCACTGTTCGGACAGATCTGTCAGAGGTTCGGGACACCAGAGGTGGACTTATTCGCCACAGAGCAGAATCGACAAACAAGACTGTTCGTGTCCAGACAAAAAAGTCCTCTAGCCATAGGAACAGATGCCCTGCATCTTCTGTGGCCACCAACACTTCTATACGCTTTTCCTCCGATACAGATTATCCAGAGGGTGCTTCAAAGAGTAAAAGATCTGAGGGCAGAAGTAATCCTAGTCGCCCCGTTTTGGCCCCGTCGGCCCTGGTTTCAAGATCTGAGGAGGTTGACAGTCCAGGAGCCCTGGCACCTGCCTCCTGTGAAAGATCTCACACAAGGGGAGACGGTTCACCCACAACCAAACTTATTAAAACTCACAGTCTGGAGGATGAGAGGCAGCAGCTAATGGGGGTGGGCTATTCTGATAGGGTAGTTAATGCCATGTTGGCTGCTAGACCACAACCAGACCTATTAAAACTCACAGTCTGGAGGTTGAGAGGCAGCAGCTAATGGGGGTGGGCTATTCTGATAGGGTAGTTAATACCATGTTGGCTGCTAGAAAAGGATCAACCAATAGGGTATATAACCTTACTTGGCAGATTTTTTCTACCTGGTGTGCAGAAAGACATATTGTTCCCATGGAGGCGTCTACGGGGGTAATCCTTCTCTTTCTTCAAGAAGGGTTAGATAAGGGGTTAAGCACTAGTACTCTGCGTAGACAAGTAGCAGCCATTTCAGCCATTAAGGGGGCTGGGAAAGGGTCATCCACATGTCAAAAGATTTTTGAGAGGTGTGTCCCTTCTGGAAAACCCCCCCCCCAAGTTCACAGATTTCCAACTTGGAGGCTCAACACGGTCCTTAGGGCCTTGTGTGTGGCACCCTTTGAACCCATGGCGACCTGTCCTATCAAAGAATTGACCTTTAAGACGGTTTTCCTAGTAGGTATTACATCTGCGCGGAGGGTCTCAGAGTTGAGAGCTCTGTCGATAGACAAGGAGTTATCCTCTCTTCATAACGATAAGGTAGTTCTTCGTCCTGATCCAGCGTTTATACCAAAAGTTAACTCGACCTTTCATAGGTCTGCGGATATTGTCCTTCCTTCGTTCTGTCCTAATCCCCAGAATGAGAAGGAACAAACCTTACACTGTCTAGATGTAAGAAGGGTGCTTAGTTTCTATGTGGACAGGACCAAATCCTTTAGAACTCATGATTCGCTCTTCGTTTCCTTCAAAAAGTCCTGTGTGGGCAGAAGGGTATCTTCATCCTCCCTTAGCAGATGGGTTAGGGGATGCATAGCTTTGGCTTACTCAGCCCAAGGTCTGGAACCACTGGAGGGTATCACAGCCCACTTCTTAAGGGGGGGCGGCCACGTCAGCAGCTTATAGGGCTTTTCCATCTCTGGAAGTGGTGTGTAAAGCAGCTACATGGAAATCCACACACTCATTTACCAGATATTATAGAATAGATACTTTGGCCTCTGCCAATGCGGCTTTTGACAGAAGGGTCGTACAACACACCCTGTAGATGGGGAAGTGGATGGACCCGCCCTGGAGGATACTGCTGTCTTATGTCCCAGGAGTAAGGAGTCTGGAGGACTGCTCCACTCCTGGACCACCGGAGAACGGAAGATTTATCTCCACTTACTGTGAAGCTTCCTTCTCGGTGGTCCAGAGTGGGGCAGTCCTACCTACCCGATTTATAGGGTGCTACTTCCTCCATCTGCAGGGGTGCTGTTTGCCCATTTTTTTCCCTCTTGCAGTACAGTGAATTGAAGGGTAGATGGTGTTTTCCCACTGTCGTTTTGAGGGGACTACGGTTGCATGGCATACCGGAGGAATTTAGTACAGTTCTTGCGTGGATGTTTACCCCCCTGTTGGGGGTGAGTTGGTTGTTGTTTGTTCCTTTCAGTATAGGGGAACGGAGGCTTGGAGTATGACTGGGATGCAGGAGCACAAGCCCCTCCCCTCTGTGACCAAAGAGTCTGCCGGACCCACCTTCGGAGGAGAGGAGCTGTTACCCAGGAGCAGTGTTCCCTCTAAGCTGAGTTAGTGTGAGCTAGCTCACAGTTTTTTAGCCTCCAGCTCACACATTTTTGTCTTAGCTCAGGAAGGATGGCTCCAGAGCACACTAATTGATGCAGTAGCCAAATTGCTCACTCACAACTTTAATGCCAGTCGCTCACAAAGTAGAATTTTTGCTCACAAAACTCCACAGCTTAGAGGGAACATTGCCCAGGAGTAAGGAGTCTGGAGGACTGCCCCACTCTGGACCACCGAGAAGGAAGCTTCACAGTAAGTGGAGATAAATCTTCCGTTCTAGTCCCATGGTCATGTCTCCACATGTTCCTCTTCCCACCGATTCCTCTGATACCAAGAGTTCTAGTCAAATTAATGCAGGAGAAGCCACGATGTCTCATAGTGACACCATGGTGGCCCCGGCAACATTGGTTTTCCACTCTGCTCCACCTATCCAATGGCTCCTTCGTTCACCTTCCTCCAGCTGCCGACCTCCTTCTAGTGGAGAACGGTCGGATCCTGCATCACGATGTGAAGCGTCTCAAGCTCACGATCTGGAGGATCCTTTTCGATCAGTCAGAGACAGGATAGATCACATCCTATTGAATTGTCGCAGACCATCTACCAGAGTTTCTAACGCTGGGAAGTGGAAGAAATTCTTGTTTTACCTCACTTCGTTGGGATTGCTGCCACCACCTTCCAACCTGATGGCAATCTTTGAGTTCTTATTCCCTCGTTTAGACCTAGGACTCAGTTGTGCTTCGCTGAGGGTCTATCTAGCCGCAATTTCGGCAAATCACCCGATAATTGACGGTTACTCTGTCTTCTCTCATCCCCAGACCAAGAAGTTTCTTAAAGGTCTAACCCACCTCTTTCCCCAGTCACGTGGACCCACACCAGCGTTGATCTACCCATGGTGCTTGCAAGGCTCATGGATAAACCATTTGAACCAATGGCTACTTGTAGTCTGCAGCTTTTGTCATGGAAGACAGCCTTTTTAGTCGCGGTCACCTCCACCAGGAGGATGGGCGAGTTATCGGCACTCTGCTGTGACCCACCTTATTGAGTTTTTGACCTAACGGGGTCACGTTGGCTCCAGATGTTTCTTTCCTGCCGAAAGTTGTTTCTGAGTTTCACCTGCAAGTGAACATTGTGCTTCCAGTGTTCTTTCCGTCTCCCTCAATGGAGGAAGAACGCCATTTTCATTCGTTGGATGTCAAAAGAGCTTTACTCTTTTATCTGAGTCGAACATGGCCTTTTTGGAAATCTCCGGCTCCACGCTCTCTAGGGAAGAAGCTGTCGCCCCAACATCTATCCAAGTGGATTGTGGAGACTGTTAAGTTGTGCTACATCCTAGCCAAGAAGTTGCTCCTGGGTCCCCTGCGAACACACTCTACCCGGGCAGTGGCAGCATCCACAGCCTTCCTGCGAGGTGTGTTGCTGGAAGATATATGCAACACAGTAACTTGGGCGCGAAAATTCCTTTTGCTTTCCATTATACCGATTGGGGTCGACGCAGGCGCACTATATCCCAGAGGTGTGAATGCACAGATGACCACTCGAAGATCCTCAGTTACAGGCAATGTTCCCTCTAAGCTGTGGAGTCTTGTGAGCAAAAATCCTACTTTGTGAGCTACTGGCATTAAAGTTGTGAGCGAGTGATTTGGCTGCTGCATAAATCAGTTTGCTCTGGAGCCATCCTTCCTAAGCTAAGACAAAAATGTGTGAGCCAGAGGCTAAAAAAACTGTGAGCTAGCTCACACTAACTCAGCTTAGAGGGAACACTGGTTACAGGTAAGCAACCTGTTTTTATAGCTACTGGTTAATACAGATGAATATGGCCAGTTACCGATGGATGGGTGGCCAGTAGGTGGGAGACGGCAACCTTGGGGAGGCCATGTGTGGATGCCCGGCTGCCTCAACCAAAAGCCTGGCGGAACAGCTCTGTCTTGTAGGCCCTGTGAGACATTATTTCGGAAGAACTTTCCTTGGGTAATAATGGAAAAGGTGCATTTAAACCGGTACTATGCCAGAATCAGCATATCAGGACTTGGCTCTAAAGCACAGAAGAAAGATGTTGGTGTATCGTGTAGAGACTGTAGGACTTAAGGTATCATAGTGCCTTTTTTGTCCAGCAACTTGCCATCTGTTGAACTGGTTTCGTCTGCTCTTTCTCCATCCACCCTGCACAGTGTATGGCTTGGATCCAGTGATGCGCAAGCAAAAACATAGAATGGATTTAGCACCGTTCCTCTTGTGTGCACCTAGTGCTTTTGGTCCCTGTATATTACAGTGCCCAGAAATGGGTTGCACAGGCAGGAATACAGATGGGAATACAATAAGTGAGTTTTAGCGCAGGCAGCTACTGTGGTAATTTCTTGCACTTCTGCTTGCACAAGAGCTCTGTTGCACATAGGAATTTTGTGCTGGATCCTGCCCTGTGATTGCTAGTAATATAGAAGGCTTGCACTTGTCACAGTCTTGTTTTGATATTGGCAGGTATGGTTTGGGAATGATTTACTACAAACAGGAGAAATTCAGCCTTGCAGAAATGCATTTCCAGAAAGCACTTCATATCAATCCCCAGAGCTCTGTCTTGCTGTGCCACATTGGGGTTGTAAGTAAATCACACTTAATTGTACTCATCACCCATGAAATTAACACCAGCAAATCTCAAACTTTAAGCACGATACAGTCTTTCTATATCTGTTGTTTTGCAGGTCCAGCACGCACTGAAGAAATCTGAAAAGGCTTTGGATACTCTCAACAAAGCCATTAACATTGACCCCAAGAACCCCCTCTGCAAATTCCACAGAGCCTCAGTATTATTTGCAAATGAGAAATACAAGGTGAGGAATAAACTGGAGCCCAAGCTGCACTGCTGACATGTCATTAACCCCACATACCGCTCATGTCCCTGAAATCAGTAGCAAACACTCAGATTCAGGGGGCTTGAGCCTCCATCCTTTACTTCTTAGTAACTCTAACTGCATCACAGCATATGCTAATAAAACACACAGAGGTTCCAGCTAGCCATGTTGGTCCAAAGAAAACTAGCCTAACTGAAGCCACATGATACCTCCTGCTAAGATCAATCAAAACATCATAAAACACCGTTCAGACTTTCTGGTCCTCATGAAACTGAAGTTGCCTTATACTGAATCAGACTGTTGGTCCATCAGGGTCAGTATTGTCTACTCGGACCTGCAGCAGCTCTCCAGGGTCTCTCAGGCTGAGGTCTTTCACATCACCTGCTGCCTGGTCCTCTTAACTGGAGGGGCTAGGGATTGAACCCGGCACACTCTGTTAGCCAAACAGGTGCCTTACCACTGAGCCCATAAGAACCTAAGAAGAGTCCTGCTGGATCGGACCAGGGAGGGTCCATCTAGTCCAGCATCCCGTCTCACACAGTGGCCAACCAGTTCCTCTGGAGGGCCAACAACAGGGCAGAGAGGCCAAGGCCTTCCCCTGATGTTGCCTCCTGGCCCTTGGATGCAGAGGCTGAATGCCTCTGAACGTGGAGGTTCCTCTCAATCACCAGGCCTAGCAGCCATTGACCATCATTCCCCCTTGTTGTTCTAGTTGTTTAAAAAAAGAGAGTGAGATGGGGAGGGAAGAAAGCAATATCTTTGTGTCCCTGACCTTAAGGCTGTATGTCATTATCCTGCATAAAATACCCTGCAGATTCAATATATTTGACTTCAGTGGAGGGAAAGAATTCTAGAAGGGGCATTTGCCCTAACTAGATGTTCTGCCCTTCCATCTGCGGTTATTCAAGGCAGGTACAATAAAAAGCCCTACTCTGAAAGGCTACACCCATGCCTTTTAAGCGAGGTTGAATCGGTAGAGCATATGTTCTTCAGCTGTCCATTTTACAGGGAGGCTCATCTTAAAATTATTACGCCATTAGTCGATAGGACACCTGGGCACATTAACACAAACGAAGCAAGGCTTCACTGGCTCCTATCAGATAAGAATGCAGAGATTACACATTCAGTCAGAGTTTTGTGCATTAGTTCTTAGATTGCGGGAACCGCATTTTAAAAGTTCTTACATTTAGAGTTCTATTTTTGTATATTATGACTGTTGTTTTTCCCCTCTCCCTTACATATTATACTTACTCTGTATGTTGGTCTTAAAACCGTAATAATAAAACTAAACTAGCCAAAAACTACCCTGCAGATTTAATAGGCTCTGGGAGCCCTGACTTGGATAGCCCAGGCAAGCCCAGTCTTGTCAGATCTCGGAAGCTAAGCAGGGTCGACTGTGGTTAGTACTTGGATTGGAGACTTCCTTGGAAGACCAGGTCGGGAGGACAGAGGCAGGCTTTATTCAGCCACCTCTCTGAATATCCTCCAGGCCCCCAGTAGGGGTCAGTGACCAGAGGTCAAGGTGACTTCCGGGTGCAGATGTACACACACACAAATACAAATATATATATATTAAAATTTATAAAAAGATCTTGGAAGCTAAGCAAGGTCAACCCTGGCTAGTATGTGGAAGGGCGACCCCCTGAAGTATCTCTTGCCTTAAGAACAAGTCTAGCTCACCACTTAGTGGTGCATACCACTCAAAGAGCTAGAACTTTTGGCTGCCAGACAATCTTAGGATCTCCTGGCTATACTACACACAATGCCATACAATAATTAATAAATAAATAAATTAGGCTCTAGGTGGAGTGGAATCAAATCATACCTTTACTCTTTTGGGAAGAATAATTTGAGGGCAAAACTTGCAACCTGAAGTCAGTTCCACCCAATGCCTATTAACATTGCAGGGCATTCTGTACAGGATGAGCACAAGATGCTTTAGGATCATGGCCTGAAATATCCACACACACCCTTTTAAAGTGACCAACTTCAGCTGCATACAAGGGTTGCAGCGAGTTGCATTTGGCTCCATTAAAATTAGAGGGTTCTCATGACATCTGTACCCATTTATGAAGAAGACTAGAAAAATATTTAGGCATCCTAGAGACTAGTGATACATCTTGGGAGCTCAACTGACAAAGTGCTCGAATTCCCCCCCCCCCCACTGTTCTACAATATGGCACCGTGTGTGCTACAGTTATGCCAGCTCTCTCTGGAAAATATGCCTCTTCAAATACACCCGTCCTTTCTCCATGCCATACTCTTTTCATAAGAAAATTTTTTGCCTTCTATTCTCTTCCCCTGCCCCAATCTCACTGCCTGTAAATTTTGTATCTTCCTTCCAGGGCTATTTTTGGGCAGGAACGCACAGGAACGGAGTTCCGGCTGGCTCCTGAGTTGGCCACACCCAGCAGGAACTCATTAGCATAATAGGCCACACCCAACAGCAGGAACTCATTAGGATTTTAGGGGTGTGTAGCCTAACATGCAAAGGAGTTCCTGTTACAAAAAAGCCCTGGCTGGGTTTTGACAACAAAGTAAACAGAATAAGAAGCAAAAGGTGGGTGTGGCTGGATGACCACACTTCTGGTAACATGGGGGTGCGGCCTAATAGGCTAATATGCTGTGCTGTCAAGGGTGTGGCCTAATATGCTAATGAGCATCTGCTGTTGGGTGTGGCCTATTATGCTAATGAGTTCCTGCTGGGCTTTTTCTACAAAAAAAGCCCTGCTTGTTACACGTTTCAGATTCGTGGGTTCTCAAGCGATCAGAATGCCTGGGGTATTTTCTTCCTAGCTGGATTTAACATTTCACATTCTAGACCCATTGAAGATATAACAGCACTGCAGAAGTGGATAGGAGATCAGTTTTATTTTACCTAAGATGCCAAATCTCCTGGATATGCATATCTGAGATGCGGGGCTCAAACACCTCAATGAATCACTTAATTTGTTCTTTTCTTCTCAGTACGCTTTGCAAGAACTTGAAGAACTGAAGCAGATCGTTCCCAAAGAGTCTCTTGTTTACTTCTTGATAGGAAAGGTAACAGCAAGCCTGAGAATTTTCCAAATTGCCACTCTAAGCAAGGGTCCCCTTTGTTTCCTGATTCATAGAGGAGCAGAGTGATGGGTGGGCATGGGATGGGCTTTAGTACGGCGTTATTCTCATTGAGGGTTCTGCACTGAAAGTTCACTGAGTGATGTTCCTCACTTCATGGTAACTGGCAATTTTATTCATAGAGGGGCTCTACATTGGCCCTGGAATTGCCATTCTTTCTTTGTTCAGTATTTTCAGGAAGAAAATCCAGATTGCTTCCCTGGCAGCCCATTACATTCTGGTGTTTTCTTTGTTGTTTTGCCGTACTTTTCAGACCTGATTTGTGGCAATTAAGAAAAAAAAGTAAAATACAATTGCTATTGAAAGTTCTGTGGCTATAATTTCAGTGCCTTCCTGCTCCTTCCAGTGTAATTAATTAATTTGTGTTCTCCTGCAGCATTAATCAATCAGCTGTAAAAAATCAACTCTTGTTTCAGGAGGGCTGGCGGACTCGGACTTAAATACTTCCTGGCCATTAGAGCGGTTCCTCAGTGGAACAGGCTTCCTCGGGAGGTGGTGGGCTTTCCTTCTTTGGAGTTTTTCAAACAGAGGCTAGATGGCCGTCTGACAGCAATGCAGATTCTGTGAATTTAGGCAGATCATGAGAGGGAGGGCAGGAAGGGGTGCATAAGTGCCTAGTTCTTGTGGCCCTTTCTTACACACCCAGGGAAATGCTGATTGCCACTTTGGGGTCCGGAAGCCATTTTTCTCCAGGCCAGTTTGGCCAGGGATCCTGGAGGCTTTTTGTCATCTTCTGGGCATGGAACAGCGGTCACTGCGGGTGTGGAGGGGGGAGGTATTTGTGAATTTCCTGCCTTGTGTAGGAGGTTGGACTAGATGACCCTGGAGCTCCCTTCCAGCTCTATGATTCTATGGTTAGGTCCTACATCCTGGGACTGGAAGGCAGGGCAAACTAGTTTGCCATAAATTAGGGACCTTTCTCAGTTGTCTTTTTGTCTGGTACAAATTTCTGTTTGTACATAGAGTTGTGGTGCATTCTCTTTGTACACAGAGTTATCCATTTAGATCCCGCCCCCCCAGTTCATGTGCTGCTTTTGCAACATCTGGGAGTAAAGAGGGCGGTTCCCTCCTCCCAGGCAAGCCTGTTTATCCTACCAGGCGCAGGAGAAACCTTATGTGAGAATAACTGTATGTGGAATGACCACAATGAGAACAGAAGTTTGTCTTTAAAAATGAAACCAAAACAAATTATTTGGTCCTAGGTACACACAGCCATGGGTATTTGTAGGTGGTATGGGCTAGTCTTGTAACAGAAAATACCGCATGCAGACTTAACGCAGTCTCTCTCTCCCTCACTCTCCCCACCCCCTGCAGGTTTATAAAAAGTTAGGGCAGACCCATCTTGCACTGATGAACTTTTCCTGGGCAATGGACTTGGATCCAAAAGGAGCCAACAACCAGATCAAAGAGGCCATTGATAAGCGGTACCTTCCTGACGATGAAGAGCCTGTAACACAGGAAGAGCAGATCAGCGAATGCTGCCCATACGAGTCAGGTTGGTTTTTTCCTTTACTATGTTTCCCTTGAGGTAAAACGAGAAACCGTTTATTGCATGACTTGAAATCACTGCAACCCCAAGGTTTTTTGGAACTCAGCATAGTGTGCGGGTCTTTGAAACCCACTTGTGAGGAGGTATTATCTTAACTACAAGGAAGCCAAAGGCCTCATGGGTTGAATTAAAGCAACCCAGACCACTGAGTCAGTGCTGAGTAGTGAGTGAATGCTTCCCCTGGCATTCATAACTTATCAAGACTCAGGCTTCTGATATAAAGGGAAAAGCAAAAACTTATTTATGTATTCCAAGTCCAAAGCAAAAAACCTTCTTTTCTCCAGCCAATAGTCACTCAGTGTGGTACACAAATTACACCGTATGTAAAAGCTATTATGAATAAATGACAATACTAGAAAATTTAGGTATTCTGTCTAAATCTAATGAATCAAAGTTCTAGGTCATCTTACCAAAAGCAGATACACAAAGCTGCAGGAGAGAGGTACCTAACACTGAATCCAATCCAATCCAATTACCTTTACTGGCATGGAACACTCACAAACTCATATACAACAATAACAGCAACGACGTAAAATAATTCTACAAAAAGAAACAGGTATAAAAGAAATTGCCATATAAATACGCGAGCGCTAGAAAACCGATCAATTAAATAAAGGGCGAATAGAAGTAGCACCAGAAAGAAATTTTCCAGCCGTTTCTGTTATCTCACAATGTGGATGGTCAAGAAGAGTAAAGATCTTTAAACCATCAGAATACTCTTCTAGTTGAGTCAGAATAGGGTTTAAGAGTTCCAGACGTAGCGCATAATAGAAGGGGCACTGTAACAATACATGGGAGATCGTTTCGATATGGTGGTTTGTGCGTGGGCAACATCTATCAGAGAAGGGCGCACCCTGAAAGCAGCCAGATAATAAGGCCGAAGGAAGTACATTTAATCTGGCCACAGAAAGGGCTCTACAGAGTTTGGGGATATGAAGTGGATAGAGATAAGAGGCAACTTGGCCAACTTTAGGGAATATTCCAAAATACAGAGGTGAACAGGTTTTGTTAGCAGCGTTATATAGTGAATGTGACTCAGAGCGAAGTAGGTTGGTTCTTATAATTGAAAAAGCCTCGGATTCAGAAGTAAGGAGTAGGGAATCTATGGTAATCTCCAGAGATTTAATTTTGGATAACTCTGAATCAAGATCTGAGAACTTCCTGTATCTCAAGTTGCTAGGAGTTTATATAAGGCCATATTTCTGTTGAATTGTCTATCACATGATGTTCCTCTGAGCATACAGGTGATACATTAGTATTCATGTAGCTTCAGAAAGCAAGGAGCCATTACAGTGTTAGTGTTCTGTTTCCTGGGTTTGTGTTGGCAGACAAACCAGCTGTTCATACATCGTTACTTCCAAGATGGCTGGTGCTAGCCAAATAACCTTGAGGACACCAACTGTACATCAGAACAGCAGGAAAAAAATCTTGTGGTACTGCAGAAAGTTGTAAGCAGACTGCATGAGCCATTACTAATTCAAGCTTACTCACGCTAACTAATTAAACAAGGCCTTATAAAATCGCAGACATTATAAATACCCTGCATGATTGATATTAAATTCTACAACAGTAGAGTTTAGTTTTGTCTTGGAATTTCGTGAGGTTTTCATGTTCCCAAAAGTACCATTTTCTTTTTGGTTGTTTCGAAGAAAACTAGTCTCCAGGGAATTAGATGCTTGAGGGGGGAAATTCATTTCCATCTTTTAGGCCTAAACCAGAGGAAGAGGCTTGAATTTCAAGGAATGTGAGGTGGGGGGGGTGAGGGTTAGGGTTGGAGTAAGTGCTGATCCACCACCCCTCTTAGATGTGTGCATGAGCGTCCACTCATTAACACAGGAAGCCCTGCTCAGCAGCAATTTGCCCATTGCCCGTTTTAAGATTATAGGAGTTAAGCAAAGAGTATGGTACACAGTATATGGATATTACACTACCCAGGGATTATTACTATGATAAGTGCGCTAAACTAATACAGTACTGCAAAAATCAGAAAATATATGCTGTTTAAATAAGTTAAAGTGATATGCTTTTTTTTACAAGGGTGGAATACAAAAACACAGTCAGTTTCAAATAAACAGAAGTGGTTTTTAACGAAGCAAATGATGTTAACGACATGCTCCGGAATGTCCTGTGTCGTTTCGACGTTCCTTCTTCTGAACAAGATTCTATAGATAATTTCCAGGGTTTTTGTCTCATCTATAGGAAGAGTAGAAATGAAGCCTGATGCTCACATATTTTTTCTTCATAGGTCAATAACAAAGCACAATTGCTAGTAGAAAATTCATTTCGGGTGAGTTACAGTCAATGGAATTTAAACAGCATGTATTTTCTGATTTTTGCAGTACTGTATTATTTAGTTTAGCGCACTTATCACAGTAATAATCCCGGTGTAGCGTTTTAAGATTACAGCAGTTATATTCTGCTCAGGGTGTGAACCACTACGCTCAGTAGGGGGAAAAAATTAGAGGAAACACTGGCTACCATTTCCTTTACTTGTATATATCACTGCCTTTCTTCTCTACACCGCCATGGCTAACCAAAGAATGACTCTTTTTCTAAAACAAAAAAAGTCCACACAACTGAAGTAATGATTGTGGTCTCTGCGCAGCCCCACACCTGGGTAAAGTGCCCGCAACCTCGGAAATTTCAAGAGCTGATCTTCAACGCTTTTGGCAGGCTTTCTCCTCCGCTCTGGGGAACAGGCATTGACTGTGCATGCCTGGAGCTGAGGAGAAAGCCGCCTCCTGCTCAGTTCCTTTCTGACCACCACACCAGCCATACCTCATTGCACCTTCTCTGAGACCTTCTTCGATGCCTCCTCCTTCGATCCTTTCCTAGTCACTTTCTCTCCATTTTTCTGGCTTTATTTGTCTCCCCTTCATCATCTTACCAAAAAAAGAGAAAAATCCTTTGGTGTTTGTAAGTCTCTTGAATTTTCTCCTCTTTGAACTTTTGTCCCCCCCCCTCCCCTTTTTCCACCTTCCCAGGAGACATGACATCTGGTAAGGACTGTTTTCTTTAAAAAGTGTCGCGTCCTTCGACTGACGGTCACAAACTTTGCCTTCTTTGTCTGGGAGAGAGCCATTGAGTGGACTCCGGCCTGCATTGCGCGAAGTTCACAAAGCAAGCATGTAAAAACAGAGCGACCCGTCTCTGTACTTTGCTCTTGGACTCTTCTCTTTGGCCTTTGATGGCGCAAGACCCTTAGGCCCAGGCTACACCGCCTCCCCCACCGCCAGTGAGGGGAGATTCAGTTCAGTCAAGTAGCTCAGCCACTTCGACTGCAGTCAAAAAGAAGAAAGATAAATCCAAGAAGAGGCCCTCAGACTCGACGTCTTCAGCTCTTAAACTGAAACAGTTGAAATTGACGCTGTCCTTGGGCCCAACAATGGTCGTGCCACTCATTATCACTGGCCTATCAACCCAGTCACCATCCATGTGCTGGAACGATCAGTCTGACCAATCGGTTACGATATCCTCTGCGGCCCTTCCAACTCCCACGGCCACTCCAACAGTCACCTTGGAGTTGGTACTGTTGGGCCAACAGACTTATTACCGTACCATCTCGCTCCTCGTCTGTGCACTCCTACAACCCTTCGGGGGCTTCCTTGGGGGATGTTGACTGTTCTTGGACAGGCTGGTCCAAACTGATGGCTTCACTTCAACCTGCAAGGGACCACAGGGTTCACTCCAACACTGGAGTAGAACAGTGCCATCAAGAATGGTCCCGATCACATGGCTCCAGTCACCCATTTGTCCGTGATGCAAGGACCCATTTGCCCTATAGTCATCAACCAGATATCAGAGCTCGTTTCTCCTCAGGGTCCAGGTCACCATCTCAGTACCAATGTTGCTATCATGACCACCACACCACCGAAGACCATACCACGCCCCATCTTGTCCAGGTCTCCTCATCGTTCCTATGATACATTCCGATCTCGGTCTCCATCCACCGGTAATTGCCATTGATCACCATCCTACATCCTGTACTGAGACCCCCGGTATTAGCACTCTGGAACCGACCAATCCTCCCGCCCATTGGATCTGACACCCTCCCTACATCACAGGGATCGGCCTGCGGAAGTTCCCTCGGGCTCCTTGGGCACTGCCCCCTCAGTCCCAATGTCAAAGCCCATTTTGGAGTTTCAACCAGCCCCTGTCAGCCTCCCAGATCTTCATACATTCTTTAATGACATGTCACCGTCATTTTCAGAGCCCTCCGACACCACCACTAACAATTCCAAATCTGATGCTGATGATGTTGCATGCACCCCTCCTGAAATTGAGGTTGCTCGCCCAGGGGCCCTCTCTCCATCTGAGGGTTACATAAGAACATAAGGGAAACCACTGTTGGATAAGTCCAATGGCCCATCCAGTCCAACACTCTGTCACACAGTGGCCAAAAATACCAGGTGGGTTCAAAGGCATTCCTCGAACTCATCTGATGCCTGGCGGAAGTACTGCAGATTCACCCTGAAAGTCACTGATGTGGTCCACAAGTTACTTCAGTTGGACTTACCTCCACCTGCCGTGTTGCCCATGCCTCCTGTCCACCTTGAGGGTCTTAAAGAGGCTTGGGACAAGCCTGCTTCAGTCCCACCAGTATCAAAGCGCTACGAGGCAATGTACAAAGTCCAGCTGTCTGATACCAGATTTTTGTTTTCACACCTACCACCCAACTCTGTGACAGTATATTCTTAATCCAAATTGAAACAAGTTCAACATCCTGCTCCCCCAATGGTGAAGGGTGAAAGATTGATGCCTTAGCTAAAAAAGTCTACCCTCTTACCACCGTTGTCTCCAAAATGCAGACTTACCTGTCATTTATGGCAGTTTGCAGTTTTCACTTGGCAAGTCAAGTTGTTCCTCTGATACTGGAGCTGCCCCCCTCCTCCCAACTCGTGGCCACTCCAGCTCTACAAGAAATCTGCAGAGTTTCAAAACAGCAGATCAGCACCATCCGCCATACAATAATGTGCTCATCCAAAACACTGGTAACGGCTGTTGCCTTTCGGTGCCACGCCTGGCTGAGCTCAACACCTTTGCATCCTGACATCAAGGCTAAAGTAGAGGACTTGCCCTTTGATGGCAAGGGCCTGTTGTCACGCCTCTACGGATGAGACCCTGTCCTCAGTAGGCGACAGTAGGAAAAGGGCCAAACATCTGGGTGTTTCCAAACCACCACCTCAGCGCCAATTTAAGACCAGGACCTGGAAATCTTCCTACTCCAGATATCAATACTCCCCCCCCAGGCAGCTGATACCTGGGGAAAACGGTCTCTCCCTTCCAAACAACCATATCAGCAGAAGCCCAAGTCATCACTCACCAAAAATCTTGCCCAGCTGCCAAAGTGGCCTCTTTGACTTTCCCCATCGATTCAGGGAGCCCTCTCCCTCCACCATCACCCCACTCATGGGAACCAGGCTTCGTCCATTTCTTACCAGCTGTGAGGCGATCACCTTAGACGCCTGGGTCCTCACCATCATCCGGGTGGGGTATATGCCATAGAGTTCATTTCTCGACTACAAACTCTGCATTTTGTGACCCCACCCCCACCCCACTTCCTACTGGAGGAAATACAGGCATTGCTGGCCAAGGGGGCGATCAAGGAGGTCCCCCAGTTGCTTCACCACCTTGGGTACTAGTCCAGGTATTTCATCGTCCTGAAGTGGGACGGGGGCAAGGGTCCCATTATGGACCGGAGAGGAATCAACAAGTACATCAGGAAAACGAAATTCTGTATGGTAACTCTGCAAAGCATCCTTCCACTGATTCCTGCACAGGCACGACTGGTGTCCATTGACCTCAAAGACATATATTTCCATGTGACTGAGAACATCCAAACAGATGTCCTGAGTTGGACCAGCTTGATCGAACATGAGTGGTCCCTCGACTCAAGGTATCTATCTCCCATCTTCAAGATCTTCAGTCACCCTCTAGTGGATGCATTCACCACCACGGAGAATGCCAAATGCCCTGTCTTCTTCACCAGGGGCCATGCGACCCAGGGTTCCCTTGGGGATGCCTTTCCACATTGCTGGACGGGAGCCCCGTTCTACATGTTCCCACCATATCCACTTATCAACTGGGTCTTCCAGAAAATTCTTCAAGACCAAGCATTCTGCATGCTGGTGACTCCCTGGTAACCCAGGCAACCCTGGTTTCCACTTCTTCTGCAACTGTCTCTGGGTTTGTACTGACGGCTCCCTCTGCAGGGTAGGATTCTTCACCACAGTCCCGGTTTTTACTGCCTAACTGCAGTGAGAATATCACCTTAACTTCCTCCCCCCCCCCAAATCAGCCACATCCTGCTCGATGCACAGTGCACATATGCATTTAAGTGGAAAACGATATTCTGCTTCTGCTTCTCACCTCCATCCTCAGTTGGTCCTGCTGGAGGTTTTGGCTTACTTAGTTTCTTTAAAACAGGCTGGACTATGTTTTTCTTCTAGGCGGTGATTTCTGCCTATCATGACATGGTTGAGGGCAATTCCCTCTTCTCCCATAGAATTACCAAGATCTTTCTTAAGGGTTTGTTGAAACCTCCACCCTCCTTGTACGCTTGTTCCGAAATGGAGTTTGTCGCTTGTTCTGGCCAAGCTTATGGGGAAACCCTTTGAACCACTGGCGTCCTTGTCTCTCCACCTTCTAAGCTGGAAGACAGCATTCCTCTGCAAAAAGGGCCAGCGAACTTTGCATGTTTAGACTGGATGCACCTCACACAGTGTTCCAATAAGACGAGGTGGTCCTGCGCCCTGACCCATCTTTCCTGTTGAATGTGATCTCACCATTCCACTTGTCACAATCTACGTTGTTGCCCACGTTCTTCCCACATCCGGTCAATGACGGACAGCAGGCTCTGCATGCTCTAGACTTCTGTAGGGCTCTCTCCTTTTATTTGGACAGAATGCAACCATTTTGTAAAGATCCTTGCCTTTTTGTGTCCTCCTCCAAACCAATTAAAGGACATAAATTTCACCATGGAGACTAAGTGAATTACGTCCACAATATCTCTCTGTTACCAGCTGGTTGGACAACCCTTACTTGCAAGCCCCTGAGCTCATTCCACAAGGGCTGTCTCCATGTCTACAGCGTTCTTGGGTGGCGTGCCCCGTGAAAACATTTGCAGTGCTGCCACATGGTCCTCTCCATCAACTTTAGTGTCGCATTATGCCTTAGATGTTTGGGCACGTCAGGACGCCTCTTTCGGCCAGACCGTTCTGAGGTCCATTTTCCAGTGACATCTCACCATGTCTTGGGTCCTCAGGTAAGCCTGAAGGGGTACTTGGGTCCGGTGACTCCATTGTATATCTTAGCTGCCAGCCCCCACTGTCCTGTGTTGTTATAGCTCACTAGTCACCCAGGTGTGGGACTGCACAGAGACCACAAAGAAGATAAACAGGTTGCTTACCTGTAACTAATGATCTTTGAGTGGTCATCTGTGCAGTCACAGCTGTCCGCCCAACCTTCCCCACTGCTGGCATCTCTCTGTCACTTACCTTAAGCTGATGGGACTTACAGGTGGTGGATGGAACTGAACGGGAGGCGGCTTTCTCCTCAGCTCCAGGTACGTGCAGTCGATGCCTGCTCCCTAGAGTGGAGGAGAAAGCCCACCAAAAGCGTTGAAGATTAGCTCTTGAAATTTCCGAGGTCAGGTCCTGTGCTGGTGCTTTACTCAGGTGTGTGACTGCACCGATGACCACTCAAAGATCATCAGTTACAGGTAAGCAACCTGTTTATGCACTCACGGTCATTATAAAGCATTTGAATAAATTGGCGACAGACATTTAGACAAGTGGCTGCTAAGCAGGCCGGGCCACAGCTTAATAATATGAGCTGGTGCTTTACGTGGGGGCCGACACGCTTAGGAAATCAAGAGGAAGAGGGTTAAGTGGAAGAGAAGTTGTCCTTTCTTAGATTTCTTTTTCTAGCGTAGTTCACGTGGGAAGAGCCTGAGCTGTCAGGAAGTCTTCCATTTGAATCTTGTGTCTGTTGTAAACTCCAAAGGTACCCTTTTAACGAGTGAGTTCAACTGCATTATGCAGAAATACTGAATTAACATACAAAAAGAGAAGCAAGAGAATGTCATGTAAAGGTCACCAAATCTAATTATTATTAGTACAAACTGCTTGAAAGCCAGATAACTAGGAAAAGTCATGTCCACAGATATCAAGAGCAGGGACACTAAACCGTAGTTTGCCCTCTGAAGCAGGATCACTGAAGGGTATCATGGGTTCTGTTTGTAGAAGGGAAATCATGTGGTGAACGCAACCTTGGGTGGGGGATGAATATTTACAAAGAGATACGGTAGTAGTGATTGCTGTGATAGTTATATAGGTTATCCTAGGAATTAGTAAAAAGCCCAGTAGCACCTTTAAGACTAACAAACTTTATTGTAGCATAAGCTTTCAAGAAACACAGCTCTCTTCGTCAGAGGCATCCGATGAAGAGAACCGTGTTTCTCAAAAGCTTATGCTACAATAAAATTTTGTTAGTCTTAAAGGTGCTTCTGGGCTTTTTACTGTTTTGCAGCAACAGACTAACATAGCTAACTCCTCTGGATCTATGACCGAGGAATTACAGTGGTCTGCAAACATACTGTTGAAGGTATTCAATAGAACCAGGGGTCATTTCCTGCGGGAGCACACAGGAGCGGAGCTCCGGCAGTAAGGAGCCCAGGGGGTGGGCATATGCAACAAGCCCCACCCCCTGCTCCCAGCAGCCCTCAGTCGGGCCACGAGGAGCAAGAAGAAGCAGCCAGGTAAGTTGCAGAGCTCCCCCCCCCCCGCCCCCCCCTCGGGTCAACACCCCTCCCCCCCTCGCATTACAGATCTGCACATCCCCCCTCCCCCCCCCCCCGCAATAGCTAGCAATCCAAAATAGTCCAGTGGTGCCTTCTGACACACTTCCGGTGATGTCAAGGGGGTGTGGCATATGCAAATGAGTTATGCTAATGAGTTATGCTAATGAGCTCCTGCACCTCTTTTTCTACGAAATGACCCCTGAATAGAACAGTCTTTTCCTGTAAAATTTTGCCTCTGTACTGTATGCAGTGTGCATGTATACTGAAGAAAACTAACCTTCTTGTGCCTTGTTTCCACAAAAAGTCGGCACAGATGAGTCACAGGCGAGCAGCATGACCGATGCAGACGACACGCAGCTCCATGCAGTAGAAAGCGACGAATTTTAACTCCAACAGCTGGATTCTGAGCTTGGATGTGTGACTGTCTGAAACTGTTGGGTTTTCCCTTCCCTTCCTGCCGCAGAGAGCCAACATCGTTCGAGCGCTCCACCGACACTGCAGGCGTATCATTCATCAGATTTTAATTGACGCAGAATTAATGGCAATGCATTTGAGGCCATTATTTGAGTCTGACTCTTTGGCTCTTTCACCTTTTTTGTAAACATGAATTTATTTTTTTTTAGAAGGAAAGAGGGCTTTTTGTGTTCTTGGGTTTTTTTTTCACACCTGTTTTGTTGACAAGCCTATCATGGAAGAAAGATTTGCTGTTTTGGGAGCTGGAAAGTATAAGGGAGTAACTAATGAAGCTCTTTCTCCAGCAATGTGTCTTAGTTTTGACTCTTTCCAATAAGCAGAGACCTGAATTTCTCCATTTCCACGTTCTGCATTGTGGAAGTTACAGGACTAGAATGTGTTAAAGACATTTTTGAATACCGTTATAGAGTGTAACTTAAATACCAGAGAATGTAAATGACTTCAAAAGCGACAGTATCTCCTGTGAACAAACACGTTGCTGAATACAAAGCCCAGTATCCCCTGCTTTTAGTTTTGTAAACCTGCCAGGATAGAGACTTCCATAGAATACTTTAGTATTCCATCCAAGAGTTAACTTTTACTGAACTAACTTCCAAAGCATCGTTTGTTGGTATTTGCAGACAACTCAAGTCGGTAACTTAACATGTTTTTTTTCCTCGGGTGCTAACAATGGCATCCAACACTTGGGGAAGTTGAAATGCTGTCGCAACTATAAAAGCAAAATCCTAGAGAAAAATTAGTGTGTAGATTTGCAGTGTTGAAAGGATGCAATGAAATACATCTGCAACCACAGAGAATGCCAAGAAGACAGTGGAAGCCTTAATCCAATCAAAACCTTACAATGGTGGTGCGTCCCACTCCTGTTTGAGGCAGTATCCCCGTCAAAATTATTTTGTAAAGTGTTGTCTGAATGAACAGATGCAAAAAAAAAAGAAATGTGCAATTATCTGGGGGGTTTTTTCCTTCTTTTTTTTTTTGTTTGGGTTTTTTTATCTTGTAAGTTTGAGTACTTCCTCTATGGCAACAGGTAGGAATTTAGATCCCAGGAGATCCCAGGAGGCTGTTTCTGTGAGGAAGGACGCTAAAGCTGTGTTAAAGAAGCCAAAAAATTTCCTCCTTTGTAGCATTTCCTGCAACAAAGGTTGGTTGGCCTTTGTGCAGTGACCATCAAGAAAGTGTATGATACCCTTACAGTTTTAAAAAAAAAGCAAATTATGCACAATAAAATGGTTTAAATTTCACAACAATGCATTGTCATCAGTTTCCGTATCTTGTGGTGCGTCAGTTTAAATTTTAAGAGGGACTTTCGTAGCTTACTGTTTTTCATTTTAAGTGTTCAAGGATTTTAATCTTCTTGAAGTAAGCGCAGTGCCCCTTGCTTCCTTTGCCACCATTTGAGACACCCAGAACAAGTGTAACATCAGCAGAGAATTTCTTCAGTGGAGATGGAAGCTTGCAGTTATTTTTTGTAGACGTTGATATTTCTAGAAATCATTTTTTTAAAAAAGTGTACCACTGTCAGGACGTGTTAAAATTTTCTTTTCTATACCACGAGAATCTGCTTGTGTTTGGAAAAAAAGAGTTAATTTAGCTAGGTGGATCATGTGCTAAGAGATCTTGAGTGAAGTTTCTCCAGGCATTGCAAAGTAGGTCCAGGAATTTATGGTTGGTAAAAGCAGAGCAAGATTGTCAATCAGATTAAAGGGCAGGCTGCAGTTATCCTCTGAACCTTTCCAGAACAAATTCTGCTACCCAAAGTTCCCTGTTATTTTTTTCACCAAATATCAGAGTGCTTGTTGAACAAAGATTCTTCGCCAAAGTTTGAAGTCTTTCTCCAGTCTAAGGAGCCTCTTCCAATTTAAGTAGCTCTTCCATTGGAAGAAGAAATGATAAAGTTGAAGGAAGCCTACTTAGAGAATGGTTGGATGCACCCCACTACCTGGAGACATGTGCACAGGATTTCAAGAATGTGAAATTTTGTTCTGCTATACAAGGTTATTTGTAGTTCTTTTGCACCACTCGCTTTCGGTGTCGTGATCTGCAGCTGAACCACTTTTCCCAGGGAAAAAAAAATCAGGCTCCAAAACACCTTTACATTTAAGTATTCTCTAGTCTTCAGAGTACCATAGCAATTGCAGAGATTACTTCCAATTTAAGGAACAAGGTACTCATATTAGGGAGAAGCAATTTACTACTGTGTTGTGCACATGCTTATAGCAAAACATGGGTTAGTACACAGGTCTGGGGGGAGGCGGGTATGCCTACGTTCAAAGATTTCTGGATGTGGTTTTACCCTCTCCCAATGTCTCCCACCCCTCGATCAGCAGTGTAGAATGTTTTTTGTTGCCGAAGTGAGTCATAAATCTCCTAAAACAAATAGATTTGTTACAGCAGGGACACAAGGGTATCTGTAGTTGCAGTTACCAAATCACAAACAAACTAATAATACAAAGAGAGCCTTCCAAGAACAAACCAAAGAAATAGGCTATACACAGTCCTGAATACACTGGGTCTCTTTGGCTGTTTCCCAGTTGCCAACTTCCAGGTCTGTATGGAGGCTGTAAGAGACTGGCTACTCCACTGTAGCTTATAACACTTAACACTAAGGCTTAGAGAAATACACAGAAAGCCTTCCCAGTCAGACCAATGAATAGGCTATACACAGTCCATAGATAACACTGTGGTCTTCTTGATTTTATTCTCAGTTGCCAACTTCCAGGTCTGCAAGGAGGCTGTAACAGGCTGGCTGACTTTTCTTGTCAGCCGCAAGAGATTCAACTATGTTTCTTCTTCAGAGCCAAATTCTTATGGAACTATACCTGTTTAAACCTTCTTTCTCCCAAATGGGCTCATACACTCCTAATGATAAATGGACTGTGCACAGCCTATTCTGATGCTGGTAAAGATTGAAGGTCAAAGAAGACGGGGATGGCAAAGGATGAGAGGGTTAGACAGTGTCATAGATGCAATGAACATGAAGTTGAGCCAACTTCAGAGGACGGCGGAAGACAGGAAGGCCTTGCGGGATCTGATCCATGGGGTCGCGAAGAGTCACACTCGACTGTGCGACTGAACAACAAGAAGTCATAAGTATTAGTGGAGCTAACTGGAACGTTTATTCATGTATTGTTTTTGATTTATGCATTGTGTTAAACATACGCCTTTATAAAAACCTTGAGTGGTAGCATTTCACGGGATATTTTGTGGTTGTTTCACTGAGTGCAGTATCTCCCGCTGTGTTTATTATTATTCTTGAAAGCTGCCAGTGAAGGGTACCACCTCCCTAGGCAGCTGATTCCACCTTTCATGACGAACATGGTACAGAATTTAGAACCCTGAGAGTCTCGGATCTGTGCTTTTGTTGAGTCCTGAAAAGGTTTCATTTGGGTGATGCCTGCTGAAATCTCAGAGGGGGGTGGGGAGAAAATAATGGCAGAATTCTTGGCCATTGGAGGACGGACGATGCTTCGGTGTGGCGCACTGATGGGTAGTGCAGAAAAGTGCTGCCATTTTGCAGCCAACTCATCCCAACCCTGTAGGGTTTTCAAAGCAAGGGATGAACAGAGGTGGTTTGCCATTGCCTGACTCCATGTAGCAACCCTGGACTTCCTTGGTGTCTTCCTATCCAAGTACTGACCAAGACCAGTCCCGCTTTGCTTCTAAGGTATCAACACAATTGGGTTCGCCTGGGCTGTTCAAGTCAGAGTGGTTTATGAATAGGAAGATAATTTGTACAAAGTAAAAATAGATGCAGATTTTCTAGAGCTGCAATGCTTTAACATAACCAATACATGGGAAAAGCTTTGCAGCCTTAGCAAATATCGTAATTCAAAAATATAACCTCAGTTAAGCAGGTCTCTAAAACTGGTTCATGCATACCTATTTGGCTGCCTTTTTTGCTCTTCAGTGTTTGTTGGAGAAAGTTGGATATAAACTAGGCCTGGGTGTCAAACATGCGGTCCAGGGGCCAGATCAGGCCCCCGGAGGGCTTCTATCAGGCCCACAGTGGAACTGGCTGTCTCCTGCTGCTTCTTCCAGTTCTGCTGCTGCATCATCGTAGGTTTGCAGCTTACAGGTACACACCTGAACAGCATATTCAAGATTGCAACAGCACAGACATTTTGATACAATAATTCAGAGCAAGAGGTGTCAGTTATCAGACACTGTTAAATGAACAAAATATTGCAGGAGTGCTAATGTTTTAAACATGTTTTTTTTTTAAGAAAAAAAAACCCTTTGTGTTTGTGTCCTTTAGAAAGTTAATATCTACCTGGCATTACATTTTATGACACACATGGCCCGGCCCAGCAAGATCTCATTTGTATCAGATCTGGCCCTCATAACAAATGAGTTTGACACCGATGAACTTGGCTATCTATAGTCATAGTTATTTCTATGACTGGGAAGCAAGAATAAACAAGTTAACTTGTGAATCTGTATTACTTCCCTTTTGAAGGGTAGCATTTTTTCCAGATAGAACTCCTGTGATCATGCTATCTAGTCCATTTTATGCTTGTGCATAACAATATGTACTCAGGGACTGTGGAGACTACTTGCGTGGTCAAAAGTTATGTTGCGGAGCAACCCTTGGATATAGCTGCTGTTGTCAGAAGCTGTAGTAGTACTTTATTTTGGAACGTTGCAGCTTTAGAAAATAGACATCTCTGGCACTGTAAATCCACTCAGAGCAAGTATTCCTTTAAATTCCCATTTCCCCCCTGTTGTTGTTGTTCAGTTGCACAGTCGAGTCCGACTCTTCGCGACCCCATGGACCAGCTCCCGCCAAGCCTTCCGGTCTTCCGCCGTCCTCTGAACTGTGCTAAATTTCATGTTCGTTGCATCTATGACACTGTCTAACCATCTCATCCTTTGCCGTCCCAGTCTTCTTTGACCTTCAATCTTTCCCAGCATCAGGGTCTTCTTCTCCAGTGAGTGCTCCCTTCTCATTTGGTGGCCAAAGTCTTTGAGCTTCAGTTTCATTATCTGGCCTTCCAGGGAACAGTCAGGGTTGATTTCTTTTAGGATTGACTGATTTGATCTTCTTGCAGTCCAAGGGACTCTCAAGAGTCTTCTCCAGCACCATCGTTCAAAAGAATCTATTCTTCGGCGCTCGGCCTTCCTTATAGTCCAACTCTCGCAGCCATACATGACTACTGGGAATACCATTGCTTTGACCACACAGACTTTTGTTGGCAGGGTGATGTCTCTACTTTTTATCATGCTGTTTAGGTTCGCCATCGCTTTCCTCCCAAGGAGCAGGTGTCTTTTAATTTCATGGCTGCTGTCACAGTCTGCGGTGATCTGGGATCCCAGGAACGTGAAGTCTGTCACTACTTCCATGACTTCCCCTTCTATTTGCCAAGGAGTGATGGGGCCGGATGCCATGATATTAGTTTTTTTGATGTTGAGCTTCAAGCCCACTTTTGCGCTCTCCTCTTTTACCCTGAGCAAGAGGCTCTTTAGGTCCTCTTCACTTTCTGCCATCAGAGTGGTATCGTCTGCATATCTGAGGTTGTTGATCTTTTCCCCAGCAATCTTAATTCCCGCTTGTGATTAATCCAGGCCAGCATTTTGCATGATGTACTCTGCATATATATTAAATAAGCAAGGCGACAATATACATCCTTGTCGTACTCCTTTTCCTATGCTAAACCAATCGGTTGTTACATATCCGGTTCTAACTGTCGCTTCTTGGCCCTTATACAGGTTTCTTCTATTAAAACCATTAAAACAGAACATAATTTTTGTTCTGTGTATTTTTTGAGATTTTTGTTGCTTAGCATCTGAGCACACAGAAGACAATGCTACCTTGAGGAACTCCAGTGGATTTCACCTACCATAGCAAAGATGAAACTCACTGAAATGTTGGATAGTCTTCCTGTACAGTAACAAACTGGACACTCTTCCCACCAACAACAGTAGATTAAATCATGTGCTGTTGGGATTATTTCTCGGAACTGGAAAGAAAGGGAAGA